AACGGGGAAATAAAAAGCGTAAAAACCGATCTTTTGATTGGGGCAGATGGTATTCGCAGTTCGGTACGAAGATTACTAATAGGCGAAGACATTACTCCTTTACGTTATCTGGACTGTATTGTGATCCTGGGTATTTGCCCTTTGAAAGCTCTTGAGGAAATTGATAGTGATTTACTGGATTCTGCAACAGTATTCCAGACCGCTAACGGAAATGAACGCATTTACATAATGCCTTATACATCAGATTCTGTAATGTGGCAGCTTAGTTTTCCAATGTCCGAAGAAGAAGCCAAAACACTAAGTGCTCAGGGAACTTATGCACTTAAGGAAGAAGCCTACCGAAGAACTCAATGGCACGATCCTATTCCTCAGATTATAACAGCAACTCAGGAAGTTCAGATTTCCGGTTATCCGGTTTATGATCGGGAATTACTGGATTCAGCATTATTATCAAAAGCCGGACAAGTAACTTTGATTGGAGATGCAGCTCATCCAATGAGCCCGTTTAAAGGACAGGGAGCCAATCAGGCCTTACTGGATGCACTTGCACTCGCTCGCGGCATTTCGAAAGGATGCAGGCCAATGTCTGAATGGCGAAAAGCAGGCATAAGAGAAAGTGTCTTAAATGAGTTTGAATCAGAGATGTTAGAAAGAAGTGCCATCAAAGTAAAAGATTCTGCAGAAGCTGCACAGTTCCTGCATTCTGAAATTGTACTTCATGAAGGTGATGAACCAAGAGGAAGATGTATAAAGAAAAATAAGTTTAGCCAGGAAAACTTTTACTATATATTGAAAAAAATTGCGGTTGCCTGAAAAGACAACCACACTTTTTTTAATTATTTATACTCTACTTCTTTCTGAGCATACCAATCTTTCATTACATAAAAAGCTTTCTTTTTTATTCCCTGATCTGAAATCAAACCTTTACGGTTAAAGAAATCCTGAATGTTAGGTAACTGTCTGCGTGGTGATCTAAAGTCAACTAAAATCCAGGGCGAAACTCCGGCCAGACCTTCTATACGATTGAACATTTGCGTGTTTTGCACATACAACTCTTCCTGATATTCTTCGTTCCAGCGCTGTGTTTTATCTCCGTGTAAACCTTGCAGCGCTTCACCGCCAAATTCGCTAATAATGACGGGTTTGTTATACGGAATTACCCATTGCATATCTTTACAGGATTCGTTCGTTCCCCTGTACCAGCCTAAATATTGATTGAAACTCACAATATCTACGTATTCGTTCATATTATCATGAAGCGTATTTACATTGTTCGGACTTTTGGTTACTTCCATTGCCATACTTATTAAACGCGAATTATCCTGTGTACGGGCATATTTAGCGAGTTTACTTAAGAAAATATCTCTATCATCGCCGTGCGGAGTTTCGTTTGCAATAGACCAAATTACAATTCCGCAGCGGTTTTTATCTCTGTAAATCATATCGTGCAACTGACGTTCGGCATTGGCGTAGGTATCGGGATTTGTCCATGAAATCGTCCAGTACACCGGAACTTCAGACCAGATCATTAATCCCATTTTTTCGGCTTCTTTTACCATGTTTTCGTTATGGGGATAATGTGCCAGACGAACATAATTACAACCTAATTCTTTTGCCCAGCTTAGTAAAGTAACGGCGTCTTCTCTAGACCAGGCTCTCCCGGATCTAAACGGTGCTTCTTCGTGAATACTAATACCACGTAAAAAGACCTTTTTTCCGTTTAACAAAATTTCTTTTCCTTTGGTTTCAATGGTTCTAAAACCAATTTTATCCGCGATACTTTCATGGGCTTTGTCAATGGTTAGGTCGTATAATTTTGGTTTTTCCGGTGTCCATAAAACGGGATTGGTTTTAATCTCAAAATAGGCCATTCCTTTGGCATCCGTTATAATGCTTTTCTTGATTTTTAGTTCTGGAATTGTAATCGAAACAGACTGATTTGCTGTATCGCTGTTCAGCTTTATCCAGCCTGAAATCTTGGTTTTGTCTTTTTTATCCAACTGAACCAGATAATCTTCGATATAAGTATTGGGAACCTGAGCCAAAGTAACATCTCTGGTGATTCCACCGTAATTCCACCAGTCCATATTTACGGTTGGAACATTATCTTTATGACGTTTGTTGTCTACTTTTACTACCACAAAATTATTTCCGTCAACAAGCAAATTGGTTACATCAAAATTAAAAGGCGTATAACCACCTACGTGACTTCCTGCCAATCTTCCGTTTACATATACTTTTGCATCGTAATTGACTGCTCCAAAATGAAGAATACCTTTGGTTTGAGAACTCTTTTTATAATTAAAGTCTTTCTGGAACCAAACTGTTCCTTCGT